ACTTTGCAACATATTGGCCCTTGTTCTTTCCTCTCAAGGCACCAATACTTTCCTTCCTCTAAGACTCCTCGCATCGACCCTCGACCTTTGTACCCGAAGGCTCGACACTCATCTTTGTCCACAATTTGGCGTACCGACCCCCGACCTTTGTACCCGGAGCCTCGATACCCAACTAGTGACGTATCAGCCCCTAACCTTGATACTCACCCATTCACTTCATAATGTTTCATAAATCTCATCAAAGTTCTGCATGCTTTTAAGCCATGACCCATGCATCAAACGTGTCCCACAATAATTAAGCATGCTTCTTAAACCACAACCAACATGCCAACAATAGCATAATAATTTTCAACAACAGCATGCTTTATAGTGATTGTAGTCGTAACATAGCATAATCAAACAAGTATAAACAACTAGAATCAATCGTAGTCATCCATAACAACCAACATTCATAAAGAAACATCCAACAACAATATCCAACGAGCATTAAGAGATAAAGCACACAAATTAAAACATGCAATTCAAACATACGCACACAACAAACATCCCTCTAAGTAAGAACTACTTACTACAAGGTCCGAACGTGCTACTAAGCTCGCCGAAGCATTCCTAAATCCAAAAAAACCAAACTTGGGTTAGAGTTCATTTTAGAAATACTTAATTTGCATCGAGACTAAGTTTGGGTGATTCGTTACATATGAATCCATGCCGAAACACTCGGGTTATGGTTGGGTCACTTTCGAAAAGGTTCGGACTTCCAAAATCGAGTTCGAAAAGCTATAGACTTGCTGGTCTGATGCCAAAAAGTGATGGGTAATGCTGATTTTGGTTCGATTAGAGGTGGGTCAATGCTGAACCAATGGCGAAGAGAGTGGATATCACGAATCAAGCCCCGATTAGGTGTGGGTAGCCCGAAACTAGCTTCGAATGAGGGTGGGTGTCACGAAACTGATTTTGTTTCGGCGTGGGTAAGCACCAAACATCACCGGAAGATGGATTTCAAAATTTGTCCACGCGCCGGTGCTCCGAAGTCATTGCAGGTTTGAGCCAATTCACCGTTCAGCCACTGGGTCTCATTGAAACACTGCAGAAATCGTCGGGGAAGGGACATCGTGCACAGATTTGGGGTCGGGGAGACTGCTTGTGTGATACTCCCATCAGAACACAAAACCTGCTGCCACGTCACCTCCTCTTCAAGGCGATGCGTCGCCTTCACTGAAACTCAGTAGTAGACGTGTCGCTGCTCTATTAACAAGGAATTCCGCCACGGGTCTGGGCTCAAACCACCGTGGGTCGACGGATCTAGACGAGGAAAGGTTGTTGCCGATCATCGAACTCCATAAAGTTATGTCAATAGCGGGGGTGGAGGCTGAAAACTCGTGGGTTTCGTCGCACCGCCGCAAAGAGTGTTGGCTTTGTTGCTACGGCCATACGCTGCTGCCACTGACGCCATCCACTACCATTGCCAGTGAAGTCGACCACCGCCGCTGCCTCACCGGAGAACACAAATAAAGGGGGGGGGGTGGCTGAAACAAATGGAGAAGATGGTGATGAATGGGTAGCTTATGATTTATTTTCTTATATTTTTTGTTTAGTTTTCTTTTCTCTTTTGTTTTATTTTACATTTCCTTTTTTTTATCAAACATTTTTCACTTATTTTGTTTTGAAAATTATATAAAGCCCAAAAATTAAACTTTAGTAACCAAACAAAAACTCACAACAACCAAAATAATAAAACAAATAACTCAACCTCTAAAATACAAGGGTTAAATCCAAAATGTAAAAATTAAATTTCCAAAAACCTTGGATTTAATAATTAATTAAAAAGCTCTTCTAAAGTTCGAAAACTTAATTTATCTTAATCCAAAATTATAACTCCGAGATTAGAAAATCCAAGAAATAAAATATCAGCTTGGGGAAAAAATTCAAGGGCCCAAATTAAGTCTAAAAATAAACGAGCCAAAGAACACGGTGATGGAAAAAATACATACATGCGCAGCGGAAGTGAGCAAGAATCGAAATAACAATCTAGATGCATAATACAACCTAGGATTAAACAGGCATGATCATACATTATGATGCTTAGAGATAAGTAGAGAAAAATACAAACCTTTGTAGCTTTTAAAAAATCTTCAAATAGCTCTAATGAAGGATCACCAAGAGATCTTCCTAGCTATTCTCAAGGTTTGGAATAGAGTGGTGGGACTCTTTTTGGAGAAGGAAAAAATTAGAGAAAAGTGGAGCTAAACGGAGTTATGTAAGCTTTTTGAAAACACATCAAATGGCCAAAGGTTCCAAGAGCTTTTGATGTTTGAACAAAAGCCTTCTTAAATAGGCAAATTACATGCAACTCTTGCATGTCAAAGTTCACCAAAAGCTTACAACACATATTTCACTCATGCATGGCATGACTAAGTGTCAAAATGCATGTCTAAGTTCACCAAAAGCTTACAACACACATTCCACTCATGCATGGCATGGCTAAGTGTCAAAATGCATGTCTAAGTTCACCAGAAGCTTACAACACACATTTCACTCATGCATGGCATGACTAAGTGTCAAAATGCATGTTTAAGTTCACAAAAAACTTACAACACACATTCCACTTATGCATGCATGGCTAAGTGTCAAAAAGTGGATTTTTGAGATTATTTAAATGTTCCACTCAACAAGTTAGTGGAATTTTCCACCAACTTGGTTAAAAACATTATTTTAATCTACTTTAGTCAACCTTCGACTTTCTCTGGTAAAAGTCAACTATTTGACTTTTTCCAAAATCCGATGTTTGATGAAATCCATGCCTCCGATTATGAATCCGCATTCATAATCTTAATATTTAAATCCTATTTAAATATTTTGTCCAAATTTTTCAAATTGATATCATATATCAATTACTTAATCATATCCCATATGATTAACCTAATTCGTACGATTTGAATTATTCCTTCAAATTATTCCAAGTTTATTCCTATATGAGCTAGCCAGGGGACCTTATGGACCTACAGATCATGAGCTCCAACGATCCGAGATTAACCGGTTATACTCTTTAACCTAGTTAACCAACAATCGTTAACTACGCGGTCACTCCACTAAAGCCCGTAGCTGCACTCTCCTCACTGTAGATATATTATGTCCATTTGATATAACCATGATCGGTAAGTCGACCCTTCACAGGTTGTTCGTAATTACAGCTGGGTCAAAATACCGTTTTACCCCTGTAATTACCTCTTGTTCCTTAAGTCCCACTAATCCTCTGATGAACAATGATTTGTAGTCCAACTATCAAATCAAAAAATCCTCTCAAACCTTTTGATGAGGGTGGCGCCAATTGTTCAAGACCTGGATTCAGCCCTTAAGAGAACAACCTCTCTACTATCCCAAAATTGGGTATAAGTGAATTCTTTCTTGCACCCTATGTCTCTAGCTATCTACCGGGTCTTACCCCTGAAATGGGAGGCTTATTGAGCCAACGCTGTTGAGCTGCTTTCACCCATGCAGATCTAAGGATAATCCCGAGTAAACAGAAGTTCATAGTTAGCTCAGGATTAAGATCGAGTTACCTAGGCCATCAAAGTTGAGATAATCAGTTTCAAACAGTAAACGGTGTTATAAAGTAAAAGTGACTATCTCATGGTCCGGTCTTATGCAAACTCTTTGCACGGGACACCCCCACTCGCATGTCTTCACATGAACGAATTAGGATCACATCGTTTGTACTAGCTACAAAGTGGGCCGCATCCATAGTGTCCCCAGAATAAGGCACCCAATGTTATTCCTATACTATAGACCATTTAGACAGTTAACTCAAACTTGATCCATATTTATGTCTCTTACATAGAGTTTGAGTCTTAGGTAACAGTCTAGGATCCTTTATTTTATTGAATTTAGATATAGTAAGAACATTTTATTGGATCAATAACTACTTATTGATTAAAACCTTCAATAACAACTTTATTGAATGATAAAAGTATATCTGTCATTTTCAAACTATGAGTTTTAGGACATAAAACCCAACACACGGGGCATTCCATAACTTGTCATGTTGTACCTATGCATACTAGTGATTTCTTGCTAGGGAGATCGTGACGATTTGACAAGAAGGTATGTTTTTATGGTTTCTTAATAAATATTCTTTTGAGCATCAAGGTAATAAAATCATACTTGTACCCCTTTTTCCAGAAGAAGTACATATTGATCCATTAAAATTGGAAGAAAGGATGTTGGAGGCTGAAAAGAAAGAAGTTATTGAACTAAAAAAAAAAAAAAAAGAAAGAAAAGGCTTCTAAAAATAAAGAGAAAGTCGTGGCCTTCATGACTATAAGAGATCAAATAGAGCGAGCTCTATGTGCTACACAATTGCTTATTCTATGTCTACATGAAGGTAATGATCTTCTAACTCAAGAAAGAATAAATACTTTGCGTAGTACTTGTGTTGAGTTTATATAGAATATTGAGGATACACTACCCGAAGCCTTGCCAATGAGATTACCACCCTTGGAGAGGAGAGCTGAAGAAGAAGAACAACAACAATAAGGAAGTTCATTTGAGCCACCAATTCAACGACCCCAAACACCTAAAGAGGCTGAGCCACATGAGGAGAGTCAACATGAAAACCAAGTGGAGAATTTTTAGAAAGAAGAAAATGAAGTTCTTCAACTTCATCAAGGTAATATTCCTACTATGGATGCTTAGCATTGGACTAACTTGCTTCGTTTTTTAATGTAGGTAAACCACTTTATTCGAGGACAATTACAAATCAAGAAGGAGCAGATGATGTGATCAGAATTGACCCAAAGCTCCAAAACTCCACCTACCCCAACAAGGACAAAAGGCTTGATAAAATGACCCACAAAACAAAGGAAATTCCATTCAACCTAACAACAAATTTTGGCCATTTTGAAGGCCAATGAAGAAATTATTAGGGTCAGGAGGAAGCAAGAATGGAGGAGAAGCCAAGCGAGTGGCCACACATACGCACACACAACCAAGCGCACGCCAATGCGTGCGCGCCCATGCAGCATGTGCCACACTACTGCGCCAACCTCCCAACGCGCCCTATGCACTGCGCATCCCAGCCACACTAACTTCACAGCGCGCCTCGCCTGCCCTCACATGCCTGCGCGCCCACACCTGCCCCGCATGTCCATGCGCGCACTGCCATCGCCCATGCCAACAAATAAAACTTTTCTATCACTAGCATTTTCAATGATGCAATTCTTTTTATCAAACACAACTCTAAATTCTTTATCATACAATTGACTAATACTAAGTAAGTCATGCTTTAAACCATCAACCAAAAGTACATCTTCAATCAAAATAGAAGATTCATTACCAACAGTAGTACTGATTGGAAATAGCTAAAAAACAATTAATTTTATCAAAGAAGAGCAACCTTGCTCTTATACTAATTGTTGGATCGGTATGGCAATCCTAGAGGTTTAATTAACAAAATATAAACTTTTTAATAAATGTGGCCAATTTAAACAAAAATAATACACTTTTTGAGATATGCAATTTTAACAAAGTAAGATAAAATAAATTCTAAGGCAAACAAGAGAAATTTAAAGCAAACAATAAAATTCTAAGATTAATTGCAAAAATAAAAAAGAGAGAAGGTTAGAGAAATTTGACACTGGGAATTTTTATAGTGGTTCGGTACAACTGTCCCACTCCACTTCCCAAGCACCTCTTGGGTTGTAAATTGAAATTCTGACTCTTTTCACGGTAGAAGTCAAACCGGTACATTGCTCTTCACAAGAGCAAAGACGATCCTCTCCACAGTGAGGATCACACTGTTACAATGAGTTGAAGATTTTGAAACACACACTTACAAACTCTCAAATAGAGTAAATATACAAATTTGAGCTTACAAAAATTTCAATCCTCACAACAATAAAATTTCTCTCACAAATAAGATGGAAAGAAAAATTGAGAACTTGGAGAGATTAGCAAAATGAGAATTTTGAAGTTATGGAGGATTGAGAATATGAGAATTGTTGTTTAATTTTGAATGAGAAGTTTAGTTTAAATAGAGGGAAGAAAATGGTAAAAAAAAAATCAAGTTTAATTTTGAACCATTAGATCTTAATAATTAAATTTTTTTTTAAATTAAGAATAA